TCAAGTAATTTAAATCATTTCTACGTTAAGGTAAATATGCTCCATTATTCAGGAATAAAAGTCCACTTGGATTTATACATATTAAAAACAACAGCTACTTACAGCCCTTCCGCTGGCTGCTAAGATTTTCAGATCTGGGTGAGAGGCTTCGTGCTTTCTAAAGTTTCACAGTAGGGGCATTTATGCCCACTACTCCGGGCATTGTTCCAAACAGACTTCGAGATATCATAGCAGCCCCAAATATTTCTCCTTCTTTATATTCACCATCCCATTGCCTGCTGCTGTGACGCTGGACACTGTGTCGCCAGTCTCTCAAACAGCCGGCCCAGGGCCTCCCGCCTACTAGGTGTCCGCAGAGCTCCAGACTAAGAGCAGACGATAAAGAAGGAGAACGCTGTCCACTTTTAAGGAATTTCCTGTTGTTCTTAAGTGTCATCGAGTCAGCTCCGACTAGTAGTGACCCTGTGCGCAAAAGAACAAAACGCTGCGCGGTTCTGCGCCATCCTCAGTTGTTCTCTGCCTGAGACCACGATGCGGCCACTGTGTCCGTCCATCTCGTGGAAGGCCTTCCCCTGCTTTGCTCCTAAAAGCCTTACGAATCAGAGTGGAACCGTGTCTGATATAGTGCTATACAATGAGTCACGCCTAGGGAAGAGCTACCTCTGAAAAGTAGGATTGACCTTTAGTAACATGGATGAAGCAATGTGTTAGGGACCTGCGGCTTCCGATGGGACACAACTCAAAATGAGAAGTAACAGCTGTAAAGTTCCCTTAGTAATTGGAACTTGGAATGTACAATATAGGAACATGATACATCAGCAACAATTAAATGGGACCCATAAAGCTCTAAATGCTAGGCATTGTTCCTGTTAGTGCCATTAAGTAGGTTCGAACTCACAGCAATCCTATCTATGTAAAACACAGCCTGGTCTGGCGAGAGCCTCACAATTGTTATGTTTGAGCCCATTGGTACAGCCACTGTGTCCATGGATCTTGTCCAGTTCCTTCCTATTTTTCACTCCCTCTCCACTTTACCAAGTGTGAGGCCCTTCTCCAGGGACTGGTCTCTCCTGACAACACGTCCACAGTCTGCAAGACAAAGTCTTGCCATCCTGGCCTCTCAGGAGCACTCTGGCCATACTTCTTCCAAGACAGATGTGTTGGCTCTTTTGACCGTCTACGGTACTTTCCAATCCTTTGCCAACACCATAGTTCAAACATAATGACTTTTATTTGGTCGTCCTTATCATCAACATCAGCTAACATCACACACCTCACCAAAGAGAAGCTGTTTCAGCCATAACATTAGGAGTGAATTCGTTAAATTTTTGACAAAATATAGCAAATTAATTTTGAAGTTGATAATTCTGTGTGTTCTGAGAATGATGTTATAAATATCCAAATGGCCCTTGGCAGAAAAAATGTTCGCCACCCCTGCTCTATAGTATAAATTTTGTGTGCTACTTAAGCAAGCTCGGTGGCCCGAATGGCTAAATGCTTGACTTAGATTAGTGGCCAAGAGTTAGCGGCTCAGACTCACCCAGACCTGCTCAGGAGACAGGCAGGCCTGCCCCTTCTGAAAAGTCACACATCTTAAGGTCTATGGAGCTGTTCCACTTGATGGCAACTAACTATAGGACAGTAACAAAGCCGATGACTCAAGATTAATATCTCCATCAAGCTCTCTGTCTTCTATCATGCATGTATCTGCTTCGAAGACCATGCCTGCATTTATTTTTTTTCTATTATGCCTTTACACTGTGATAAAATACACGTACTATACATTACTATATTAACCATATTTGAGTAAATAATTCATTTGCATTCCATACATTCACAATGTGATATAACCGTCATTACTATTTCCAAATCTTTTTTAAAAGATTATCCCAAACTCTAAGCTCATTAAACAATAATTCCTGTTGCCACTCTTCCGCAGCCCCTGTTCCCTACATTCTACTGTGCCTCTTCAAGGTACGTGGAAGCATGGTGTTTCTCCTTTCATGCCTGACTTCTTCCAGTCTACATGTGTCTTAAACTATAATCGGAATCTGAGTCCAGAGTCTCATCTCTTCCAGAACTCGATCTCACTGATTATCTGAATACAATATGATCTTTTCTCTTCTGCGCTCCAGTAGCACATACACGATAGACAGCAATTTGTAAAATTCAGTTTGACAATTGCATTTTTACTGCAGTGGGTCTTAACCTCAGACCTTGCAGTGTGGTAAATTACTTGATATGGCCCTTTTTGTCTTTGTAACTCCTGCCAAATGAGTGGGTAGACCTATGCAAATGAAGGTGCCTGTGACCCACTGAGGGGATTGGTTAGTGTGCAAACAATGTAAATAAGGCACATGTCACCTTTGGGTAGCAACATGTAAACAAGGTACATGGACCCCAACATGGGGGTTGGCCCATTTTGCATCCCACTACACTTAAAATGAACCTTCCCAGAGGCAGAAAGGGGGTGTGTTCATCCAGGTAGACTAGAGAAACAAATCCATAGAAATTCATTTGTGTATAAGAGTGAGTTTTTTTTTATAAAGGGTAATTGTACATTAAGAAAGCATCCCAGCCCAGTCCAGTCCAAGCCCATAAGTTTGATATTAGCCCATATGGCCGATACCAATCTATAAAGCCCTCTTCAGACACAAAACACAGGCAATGACGCTGAATGCAGGATGATCACAGGCCAATGGGTAGAAAGTCTTTGGATCCAGTGACATTGTAAACATCTAAGCGCTGGCAGGGGTCTCCACATGGCTTCTCCAGTTCCCAGGGCTGCATCAGGGTAGGTCCATGTGGCTTCTCCTCAGGGATGTCTCACAGGAAGTAAGCAGAGAGAGAGTGTGTCTCCTGCCTCCAAGGAGGAAATATCGGAATTCCCAGAATACTTAGGGGAAGACCATGCCCATGCAGAAGCCTCATTGGCTATGACCCAATTGACAAACTAGGCTCCACCCCTTTACTCTTAATCCTTTTAAGTCCCACATTGACACCATATTGTGTAACTACCACAGGGGGATATCACGGCCATCAAGAAAGAAGAGCCAGGAGTGGGATCCCATGCTGGAGTTCTATGATACAAGAGGCGGAGTTCTGTGACACTGGAGCGACAGTGAGCAATGAAGAGGAGAAGTGGCAGTAGCAGAGGTACCAAAACCAGTTGAAAAAGAGGGCTGGCTTCCTGGCTCACAGAGCAAGAAAGCTGAGTACTTTGGGATAGGAGGCTTGCTAACATAGTGGGTTACCTTTGAAGATTTAATTGAGGGAGTTAGGTTTGCCAACTATGGAGCTAGAGGTGAGCACTTTTGGCTGCGGTTTCTTGGAGAGTGAGCATTGATTGGCACAGCTGAAAGAGTTTGTGGCCCAGAGTTGAAGAGAAGCATGCCTATGGGCATGACTCCGAAGAGATTGTCCTAATTGAAGAACTGCATCCTGAGTGTTGTTATCCTGAATTATAACTGTCCACTTCCTTCATAAACCCTTAACTGTGAGTACAGTGTGTAAATGCTGTGTGGCCATTGCAATGAATCATTTAACCCAAGAAGGAAGTAGAGAATGCCATGGGAGGGATGACTAGGATTAAAATTGGTACAGTTTGAAGGGTGGAGGCAATGTTTGACATCACCCCCAAAATTCGCCAATGGTGGCTGATGTTCACGATGGTGATTCTTTCTCCCCTTGGTTATGTTAAGCAGTGGTCTCAACCTTCCAAATGCCGCGACCCTTTAATACAGTTCCCCATTTTGTGGTGACCCCCCCCCTCCACCATAAAATTGTTTTCGTTGCTACTTCACAACTGTAATTTTGCTACTGTTATGAATTGGGCAACCCCTGTGAAAGTGTTGTTCGACCCCCAAAGGGGTCTCGACCCATGGGTTGAGAACCGCTGTGTTAGAGGAAGCCAGGCACATTCCATACATGGTTTTTGTAGATCTGTTCTTAGGTGCCATTCGTTATTGATGAATATTTTGTGTGAGGCTGTATACATGTGTATGTATATAAGAGCACATCATTTCAGCAATAATATAAAACATTTTACAAGTATGTTCTGAATTATCTGAGGATCACCTTATAATTTCATTGCTTGTTTGTGCGTTTGATTAATTTGGCTGTAAACATCACTACCTCCGTTGTAATGAGTTAATTAATAAGAAAAGAACACAGGCAGACTTCGTATGCAAATATGCTTTTGCAGCAAGTGAAAGCTCAGTGAAAGCAAGGCCTTCCGTCCAGAAACGACAGCCCCCCAGGCTCAGAGAGAGAAGTGCTCGGACCCTCTGTCTTCATGTGGCACTCCTGGGGGGCGTCATGTCATCACCCAGTATTCAGGGTGGGGAGTGGGCCCAACCTAAAAGAACCCATGGCATACAACCAACACTGTATCCATAAACCAATGGCAGTCCCTGGGAGCACATTGCTTTGGTTATTTTACTTATATGTCTTTGAGTTTGTAGCTATGCAAGACCTATGTGCATGCATAGTTTATACCTGGTTTATTATGGTACCCATTTAAGTTGCATTACAGTGTAAATAATTTAAGCCAACACTGGAACTCCACAGGGTTATTTTTAAGTTATGATTGTGAAATAACAATATGCTATATTGTGACAGTTCTTTTACAGTGGCCTTAAGTGGCTGTTGAGATTTTTACTGTTTAACTATTTCCATTGATCACAGACTTGTTTCCCCAAATAAAATATAAATTTTTACAGGATAGAAATAAGCCTTCAAGGCATTTGCATCCTCCTTAGCATCTAGTACAGCACTGAGAATTTCAAGCATTTGTTCTTTAGGTACCATTCTGGATTTTCAACTCATAGGAGCCTTGGTGTGTAGTGATTACACGTTGGGCTGCTAGCTGCAAGGTCAGCAGTTCAAAACCACCAGCCAATGTGTAGGAGAAAGGCCAGGTTTTCTATTCTCTTAAAAAGTTACAATCTTGGAAACTCACAGAGGCAGTTCTACCCTGTCCTGTAGGGTTTCTATGAGTCAGCATTAACTTTGGGGGTCGTAAATGTTGAGTGATCCGTGTGACAGAGTAGAACTTCCCCATAGGGTTTCTGGCCCACAGGCTTTACAGGAGCAGGTAGGGTCGCAATTGCGTGCTTTACCGTTGCAACGTCACAACACCAAACACCATTGGAGGACTTAGGAAAAGCCCAGGGACACTTGTGATTTTCATTTTTTTATCAGCCCTTTTTGACTTAAAATCTCATTCCTGCATATTATTTATTGTGCTCTTTTCTTACATCGCTTTCTTTTTATTACTGATCTTTTTTATTGGGGGCTCTTACAGATATTATAACAATTCTTAATCAATTAATCAGGTAAACTTGTGCAGATGCTGCCAGCATCATTTTCAAAAGATTTTCTTTCTAATTAAGCTCCTTGATATCAGCTCCTCTTAATTACCTCCCTCTCCCACCCTACCGCCTCCATGGACCCTTAATAAATTATATAATGTTATTTTTATTTTTTTCATATCTTAACACCATTTGATGTATCCCTTCACCCACAGTTCTGTTATTTGGCCCTTTGAGGGGGGGATTATACATCATCCCCCCTTACCAACATTACCCGCCTCCTTCCCATGCCCTCACAGAATCATTACTCTTATTATTGCTTCTGAGGCATTTATCTATCCTGGATTCCACGTGTTGAAAGCTCTTATCTGTACTAATGTACATATACCAGTCAAGTAGAATTTGTGAGGTTGAACTGGGGCCATGATAGTTGGGTGGTGGGGGGAAGCAATGAACTAAAGTCCTAGAGAACTAGAGTCCCTTCCTTGTATCCCTTTTGTGAGAGAATTTCCGGTTAATAACAGATGGGCTTTGGGTCTCCACTCTGACCCCTCTCCTGCACAATGATATGATTGTTTGTTTTTGATCTTCTGACACCTAATCCTGCTGACACCTCATGATCACACTGGTTAGTGTGCTTCTTCCATGTGAACTTTGCTGCTTCCCTGCTAGATGGCCGCTTGTTTACCTTCAAGCTTTTAAGACCCAGAGGCTATACCTTTTGATAACCAAGCACCATCAGCCTTCTTCACCACATTTGCTTATGCTAAATCACTTTCAAGGGAGGCATTTTTTATCAGATATGTCAAATGTTTCTGATATCTACTATGATTCTACAGAAATAAACCCTCACCTTAATAGAGACCTGCTGCAAGCATTTTGTGTAGAATATATTACTTTATCACAATAACCATAGGTGATACAGGTAATAATAAGCAGCTTACTTTTGCTTACAGTAGTGGACCCTAAGGCAGAGAGAACAGAAGCATCTTGCCTAAGGAACTGTATAACTAGTAAGTGGTGGACGTAGAATTCTGATTTGATACAGGTTGAGTCCCACTGTCCATTTCCATTCTGCCTGAAGCCTCAGTGAAGTTGGCAATAAGGAACGCAAAAGTCGCTGCTGGGCGAGTGCCCTGATGCTTCCTTGTTCATCAGATCCTTCCACAGGAAAATGCACAATAGATTAGAAAAAATGTTTGCATTCACTCTTCCGGGAAATATATCCCCCTGTACTGTATCAGCCACGTATCATAGGATATCTGTTGTTCAAACTCCACATTGTGAAACACAGTACATCATTAAAAGGCAAATGTTTTCATGCTTATTTTATTCACCGCTCATATTTTATGTGTCTTTTCTTTTGTCTGCAATAGTGCTCAGAACACAAAATGAATTCAAATATCCTTGAGTGAATCAAATCTCCCCTTTTCAAACTTAGAAAGGTTTACCCGCTCACAGTTTAGGTCTATCTTCCAGGTACAAAACTCACTTAGTTTCCACTGGCAATTCCAGTTTAACAAAAACAAAAGCCCAAAATTTCCCAAACATGTCTGGATGCCTGGTAAAACAGGCTGAGGCAAAGATGACTTGCTCTTTTTATGATCCGAATGATGCCATCTTTTGGGGACTTCATGGGTCACTGGAATGATGGCCAGTGAGTCGGCGAGGTGGGGGCGGGGGGTGGGGGGGGAGACAGTGTAGTGGTTGTACGTAGACATCCCTCCTCATACTTTATTTTCAGTTATTTTTCCTGACTTTTGTCTGAGCTGCTAGAAAGGGGGATGCTCTTCTTCCAAGGTCTCTCCTCCTAGTGAGTTTGCAGGATCTACATCTGTAATGTAATAATCTATTTCCCTTGTTTGATGAGGATTTGATTTCTCTGGTGACTCTCCTTGTTCCTGTCCCTTGTGGAATGATTTTTGCTCTTGAAACTCCCCAGCCTCTTCTGTCACCTCATAGTTATGATCAGTTACTAATGAGAGGAAACGTCTGGGTATTTCCAGGGTCAGTATCTGAGAGCTGGGTGAATGAATTGAAGTCTAACATGAACATTCTGAGGCTGACTCACCCATTCATTTATGAATTCGCCCATCCCTCAACACACATTTATTAAATATTTCATCGTTGACAGAGAGTATGCTATAAACTATTATTATTGTTGTTGTTGGGTGCCATCAACTCCCTGCATTATTCTTACAATTGTTCTTTTGGGCCACTGTGTCAGCCCATCTCATTGAGGCTCTTCGTGTTTCCAATGCTCATCTGCTTTACCCAGAATAATGTCCTGTTTACAGGGTTGTTGTGTTAGTTTGGGTAGACTAGAGAAACAAATCCATAGAAACTCA